CCCCAAAACCCCAAAACCCCAAAACCCCTTTTAATAAAAATAAAATTGATTCAGAGTTAATAAAAATAGTGAACGATCAAAGAAGAAAGATGAACGGGTTGGCTCTCAGAAGGTCAAGAGCAGAAAACCACTTTATGAAAAATAAAGTCAACATCGCTGGTATCGACATCGACAATTTGATTAAATAAAAGAATGTATGAGTGGCAAGCAAGGTAATTATATCCCTCATTCTTTAGGAACGGTATTGAAAAGCATGCTCAGAGGTTCAAAGGCAAGAAAAAATCTGGTTTACGGTAAGCTACTGCTTTCAACACTATGAAATATAGGTTAAATAAGAGGAGGTTCAAGGTAAAAATGCCTGATATCTTTCAGAAAAAGAGGCTGCTTTCTCCTAAACCGAGGCCGATGAGTACCATTCTTCAATAATCCCATAGGTCCATTGCACAAGGACTTGAAGTCATGTTAGTCCAGGTCTTATTTCTTTAGTGCATAAAATTATTAAGGTGCCCATTGGAATAATTTCGTAGGAGACATTTAAGGAAGTCGACAGTTTTGACTTCAAAGGTAATATTCCTCAATGAGCTATAGAGTACTCCAGAGTCGGTAGAAGGGAGATCATCAGAAAGCAGAATGAGATAGGGTACCTTTCACTACAATCTCTATAGACTCAAATCTTTTGATGCAACCAGGGTCAATTCAGAACAAGACTCTCAGGAGCTCCAAGTAGATTTCTTGAATAATTAACATAGATGAATAAGTCTCATGGGAGCAGCAATATCCTTAAAAACATCCGAGACAGTATTATTTAGGCTTACTTTAGAGCTGAAATAGCAAGAAATTGAAAAATAAGAAAAGTGAGACCAGAAATGTACATTTTAATATCAGCTTTGGTAGACTTTGGGTTCTTAAATTTTAGACCAAAGAAGCCTCAGATCTTCCGAAGACTTGGATGTTTGTAGGGATGATGCCGATTTCAGGACTCTGAAAACTCCAATCTCTCTGGACCAATTTCAAAACTCTATCGGTAAGGCTGAAAAAATTATTTCTAGCCACTCCTAGTGACATGAGGACCAAGGGAAAAAATATGGAGAGGAAGTCCAAATTCAAATTTAGTAACTGCCATTTTCATCAAGATTCTTCATATTTTCCAGAAAATTTAGAGATTTCAGGATCAACTTAGCTATAGATATCTTGAATGGAGATATTGAGGATAAGAAAGTTATGCTAAGAAGGAAGAGACTTTTGGCTGTAAGTCATACTCTCTCAAGCTCTATATTTGATAACCTGCAGAAAGCAACAAATTTCCTATAGAGCTCAAAAAGTTTCTCAGAGAATGTCCAAGATCTATCAAACAAACATAATAATATTGGTATTTTTGAATCATAAGTTTTAGACCAGGGGACTTATGAAGGGCGACCAAATCCTTATAAAGACAAGTATTTTCCAAAATCAATATATTACTTTAGGACTCTCAGACAGATCATAAACACTCGTCTGAGTACTTCTGAGTGCTAAATTATAGGAATCACCAGTAAAATTCATGCCAAGAATCAGATTGTGCAGGAGAAATTGAAGAAAATAGCTGATGAAACGAGCAAAAAGTATGCATTTCAGTCTGATCCCTTCTAGCCTGTCATTAGATATCCAGTATAAGTTGAAGTCAAAGATCGGGGTAACCTTTCAAAGGGTATTTATAGGATATTTGCCAACTAATGCAGCAGAGTAAGTTAGGAAAGACACAGAAAAGCTACCTCACCAAGAAGCAGAGATACCCTTACACATTACTCTATGATAGGTAGAGGATAAATCTAGCTAATTAGCCATAATGCTTGTTTCAATAGTTAAATTGAATATAGGGGTTTTGGGGTTTTGGGGTTTTGGGGTTTTGGGGTTTTGGGGTTTTGGGG